CCCATCCAGGCTTGTGACCAGTTTGGCAAAAGAGAAGACAGGAAAATTTGCAGTCAACAAATGGGCAAATATTACACGCACACACACACATATATAGAATTGCAAGAATGGAGTTAATACAAAAACAAATGTTTCTCTTCTTCATAAGTTGGTCATGCTAGGGCCCATATTCAAATTGAGGAATGACCCAAAAGGGGGAATATACAAAAAGAAGCCTTTCAATATTTACATGTGTTAGAAAAACAAAAATGAATAAGAAAACAAAAAACCCATTCTTATACAGCTTTATAACTGTCTACCAAGTTCTTTTTTTTCAGATAAAAGTGAGTAATAGTATTAAGTAGAGCGCCGAGGGGGCAAACCTATGTACAAAAGATAAGTATTCACAGATCAGTAAGTATATCTACAATGTAACCGTCTACGAAGTTATAACACAGTCACAACGGTAATAGAACTAATCGTGGCAACAACAATAATAAAGAGCCAAACCCTAGTGTGGCACAACTTTTTTTTCTCCAAAATAAGTGACACAACTTATTGAGACTCTTCATATATAGTAACATCTTTAACTTCCTAATTCTAAGTCCCATGAAATGAATGCCACTGCCACATTGATCAGAGACTCTTGAGCATATCTTAAGTTCCAGCTAAGCTGACTAATGAGGGATGTGAAGTCTAAGGGGTCCTTACAGGGTAATGCACTGCTTACCTTGAATTACACTGATGATGAACAACAACACGAATGTCATATATGCAGATAATGCAATTCTTTAGAAGTTAAAGGAAACTATATAGCTTACATTTTATATTTTCAACCATCGTACATGTATTTGAACTAAACAAAGACGGATCTCAATTTAGAAGCCATGCCTACAGCAATGCCTCCCAACGAGATCTTCTAGTGTAGGTAGGTTTTAACATCATAGAGTTTTGATCTTTCCAGCAATTAAATCTTTTATTCCTGGGTTTTACCAATTGAAAATTTGTAAAACTGCTATAGGAAAATAAAGAAAAGAAATTAAAGCAATAAACTTTAATTCATTATTTAAATGGATTTACAAAGGTAGCTTTCCCAATAATAATGTGATAAGATGTAGTTTGATAGCAGAAAAGTACTAGTGACATTAAGTTGACAATGGATCAACCATCAGACACTTCTTAATAAACTGTAATGCACCATAAAAGTCATTAAATCATTTTATGTATAATTTTAAATTATGCATGATATATATGCCCCAAGAAATGCATAAAATAGATAATGGCATACAGGTTTAATATAGCATGCCAGAAGTAGAGACGACAAACTCACCCCAATTGACTAGACAGACTCCAACTAGAAACCTGAGCAGACCTAATCTGACTTCCCCAAATAAAGTTGACAACTCAAAACCTGAATAACTCAAACCGAATTGATATTCAGACAACTTGAGTTCTCGAATTATTGAAAATCCAATGATCAGATGCTCGAATGGTTTATTACTTGAAAAACCTAAAATACAAAGTTAAACTGAAACCCCAAATACAAAGTTAAACTGAAACCCCAAACAACTGAAACTTGAAAGCAATCTGAAGCCAATGAACCTACTTGACAAGCCAGCTTGAAAATTTTAGATCTATGGTGACTCACAAATATTTTATAATCAGGATCACATAAACTAAAAAATAATTCACACAATAAGATGACACTAATAATAACAGGCTACCATAGTCATCCTGTTCAATTAATTAAATACAAGAAAAAAGGTTTTGGATAACTCTTGAGTAGCTATATATAGAGATTTCTGGCTCTTTCCCCCCATGTTTCTCAATCCACACCTATTCTTTTCCAAAGTTACCATCCTATTCCTAATAGAGAATACCATCTTCTACAATAAACAAATGAATTTTTACAAAAATAGATTTATTGATATAAGAACTAAAGAGAAAACAAACGAACTAACTTGGTCCTAAAAGTATGATTTTGTTTACGTCACCCTCCCTGGAATGGTTTTCTTTCACTGTAAATCTATAAACTAGATAATAATGCCTATTATTATAATCACAATGGGCATATTTTTCAATACTACTAACAAATAAGGATAATAGTTTGGGAGTGCAATATGAAGACCAGATATATTATTTGATTAATGATTTCATATTATCTCATCCTTCATCCTCAAGACTTTCTCCACATTTTTTCTTAACGTGAATACTAACTTTTTTTCCTTTTTTACATTAGAATCCAAGGGATTCACAGTCTTGGACATCCGAACTCCAACTTGTGAAGGTGAATAAGTACCACTTGCCAATGGCCAAGTGTGTTGACAAGAGTACCACTTATCAATACACGTGTGTACATATGTATAAACATAATAAATGAAAAAAAGAACAAGTATTAAAGTAGAAAGTGGTAAATTTTACAACCTAAACCAGTAAGCCACATCAAAAAACAACGATATAAAACTGACTAAGCAGAAATAACACATTTTTCCAGAAGAGAGGAAAAGAGAGAGGGAGAGAGAGAGAGAGAGAGAGAGAGAGAGAGAGACAGAGACAGAGACAGAGACAGAGAGAGACAGAGGACTGAGAAATATTGCCAACTTAGATCCTTGAGTTGAACTGAGTGATTGTGGGTCAGAATTATTGAGATCTGGGCTCAGCAGTGTAACTGGACAGATAAGAAGTTTACTTCTCCAATAACCTTGAATACCTTACTGGTTATTTAGAAAAGAGAGAAATAAAAGAGTGTATGAGAAAATAGTTTTTCCTTCTCACAAAATTAGCAGGCTTTGGTTTAAGATCTCGCATTTTTTTTTTAAGGGTCACCCTCTTAATTGTTATTCGAGGGTACCTAATTGATATACAATTGAGCTGTAAATTCCATTTTTATATTCGGGTCACACCACCTTATTGCTTTTTTTTCATATATCATACACTTTTCTCTCCAAAAGACAAATATTTTGAAGCCTAAAGACCATATTTGTCAACAGAAAATTCCAAAAACTTACTTTAAAAAATTAAAAAAAAAAAGAAACAGAAAATTCCAAAAACATGCACACCATAGAATAGATGCAACTGTTTTTGGTAACTCTGATAAATCACCTTTTGTTAGGTTGGTTAGTACTTCCCCTCCCTACCTGAAGGAGTGAATTCAAGCCTTGGGCTATGCATCCCGTGTAATATAGCATGAGAGCAAAAAACAAATTTCAATAGCTCCCAATTCACAGCTTATGACTAGTCTAATAACTGGGCAATTCCAGCAGAAAAAAAGAATAATATCCATCCAGCCCAAGATCTTTTTTATCCTTTCTTGAGAGCAGACCACGAGAGATAGATAACTAAGGGCATAGAGGAAGATAAACCACATATATCAAGCTAAGCCTAGCTCGACGCCCACACACATTATTTCAATGTGGTGGGCCATATCCTCCCTCTGATATACAAACCCATTACTTACATGTGGTGCGGCCATGTCGACCTCAACGGTAGATGTAATTGGGTATAGTAATTACTAGATATGCTTTTTCACAGCCAACTATTTGTTTCTTTTACCTTCTACAGAATATAAATCCTCTATCCTCGAGGATGTAATGACAGAATGCATCTCATCTTCAAATTTTCCACACCAAACTTATGAATTCTTGGGCATTTAATCAGCCTAAAACTTATTGCTATGAAATTTTTCCATGTGCTAACCATGCATAAACTCAAAATGAACAATAATGATATAGAAAACCAAATAAACATTTTGCTCATGAATTAATATTTGAACTTTTAAAATCTTACAATAAGGAAAGCTCTTGAAAAAGGTAATTTCATTAAAATCAACTAAATTTAGAAAGCTTTTTGAAACTAGCTTGCAAAAGGAAATGTGGATAAAATTTTAAAGAAAAGTCAGAAAGCACAGAAAAAATATTGACAAAAAAAATAGATCAAGACAAATATGCAGATTTTAAAAGAGCTAGGGGAAAAGTCCCTTTTGATATTCGACATAATCATCCTGGTCGAATTGATGGATAAGAAGGTGAACGTCAAAAGATTAGAAAATTGCGCAATAGAACTTCAAGAAGCTCAAGTCAAATAAAGAAAATGGGATTAAAAATGATTATGGAGATGCAAAATGACAAATCTGTAGGTTGTGAGGCTATCTTTCACGGCAAGTGGCCAACTTGATGCAATATATAAGTATATTTTTTAGAAAAAATGGCTAACAGAATTTTGCCATTTCATGTCAGATGTTAAAGTAAAACTTTCCATGAACAGCATATCAATCCGCAGCTAACAATATCATACAGGCGAGCACGCTATTCTTGTGAAGATCCTGCAATTTTATGTCATGCCAAAGAAATCAATATCCAGTACTAGAATAACCACGCAGACTAGCTTTTCTGAAGAAGTTAATTTTTGACACAAATAACATTTTTTAACCAAAAGAAACAAGAAATGCATGTCTGCCCTCTTGAACACCCCTAGTCATTTATTACATGATCTGGAATATTTTGGCTGTACAAATCTATTAAAAGACATCAAACATACCAACCGTATGACCTCAACTTTGAAACTACTCAATGAAATAAAAGCAAAATGCACAATAATACCTGACGAGGGAAATGAACCAAATTTTATAGCATCATGATGACATTGGACATAAAGTAGTTAGTTTCACCTCTGAAACTAAGTGAAATATTAATGATAGATATAACAGACTTGTTAAACCACCATCAACCACAATATAGCTCATATTGTTAAAAGTATTAAAATAATAAACTCACCCTTCACTGACCAAGTTTAAGGCCAGATTCACCAACACAGATTGTGCTAGACCTAATTTGTAAAGAACAGATGTCAAGGGAGCATATGGATGCTGCACGTTGAGTTCAAAGTTTAAAGTTGTCAATATCATAGTCTCTGCTTCAATCACCCGTTCTCGATACTGCTCAAACCAATCCTGTTTACAACATAGCCACATAACAAATTTAGAAGCCAAAGGGGAGTAGAAAAAAGTGACTATACTGAAGAGCTTTTGAAGATACTTACAACAGGTAGCAGATAGGACAAGAAACTAATGTCCTGCTTATGAAGAATTTCAGCAGACGCTCGCAACATATTGTTCAAAGGACGTGGAGTCTCCTCAGACTTTGCAGCAAGAAAAAGAGCAGCAGTAGCAATCAACTGTCACATATTCAGATAAAAAGCACAGTAAGTACTTAATCAGGTATACAAACAAAAGACTAAAAATCATGCAAAGAAGTTGTCCTTAATTCAGGAGTAAGAACAGATCAAAGATTCTGGAGCAAGAATGAGAGAGAGACTCACAAATCTATCATGGCAAGCATGTGATCGTCGAACAAAAAACCGGTGGCATATAACCATAGCCGTGCCAATAGTGGTTTGTGGCCTGCAACAGACACATTATAGTTTCTCATTGTATCACATAACTTTAACAAAGAACCATAAATATCAACTAGAAGATGTTTAAGCAAATATAATCAATAACTGAAATGAGTTAGCAACAACTGATGCTTTCCAGAATGTGTCTTAATTCAGCAGGACAATTGCCTAATTGTGAAATAGTTAAGATAGAGAACTTACAACTCAAGACGCAAACCAAGATTCTGAATGAAGCCACAGTATGAATACCGCAAGTAAGTTTCACGCAGAGCATCAATACCATCTTTCCTAGACGGAGAGTATCTTTCAATCTCATCCCTTGACAGAAAGACAGGTTCATCATCTTCCACCTTCGAGCAGTCAAATTTACAGCTGGTAGATGTAGAGGCCTCTGCATTGGACCTTGTTGGAGAATGGACTCCACCGTTCCAATTTGATGGAACAGGAATCTCATACAAGCTGGGCAGCAGATATTGCTTCCCAGTATCTTCCCATGTAGAAGCTGAAAACTTTCTCCTTTTGAAAGAAGGAGGTCCACTAGGCTGAGACAAATTTGAGTGATTAACATGCTCCCTATAGTTCCCAGGAAGATCATGTTGATTGTTATGATTCCTAACATGATTGTTTATCCAGTTTCTGCTTCTGTTTTGGCTGTGGAAATTGTATCTATTGGAAGAGGGCCAACAATCTTCATGTGAGATGCCTCTTTGAGGAGGGTAATTCCGTGCAAAAGACATTTCCAAAATTCTAAAAGAAAAAAGTAAAAGATCAAAAGATAATTTTTGCAACATTAGCCACAACGGTAACAACAGTTTGTCCCTAAAAAGCATTAAGCATGAGCAGAAAAAGGAAACCATTACATCTGGAAGATTTAAAAAGAACCTCTATTCATTATTTCAAAAAAAAAAAGAACCTCTATTCATTGATTGACTTTTCTTGGGGTAGGCAAAGACAGTGGTAAATTAGCTTGGACCAAACACGAGAAACCGAAATCAACATAATGGACCTGATCCCATTTGAGCTGCATGACTCAGGTGTTCATTGCATGATTTTATCTCAAAAATCATAGCACTATTTTGTAGTGTTTGAAAAAATATATCAATATCAGATTTTAAAAGACTTTAGGCAATGTTAAGTTCAATCTCATCTTATTCCTTTAACCAGACAAGAATATTCTTATAAGTAAAACTAAATTCACAAAATTACGTATTCCATAAACAATTCAATCAATTCTATCCCTACATTAAATTTCTTAAAAAAAATGACACCATTCCAGAAAATCTCTCAACAGATGCATGATTGTATGACTGGAAGTCAAGGCAATGGTTACAGGGAGGAGATTCTATGGAAGGAAAAGTCTAGAATCAAGTGGATTGTTCATAGAGACAGAAAAATACGAAATTTTTCCGTCTTTCCACCACCATTTAGAGGAAAGGAATCATATCGAAGCACTTAAAGATAGAAATGGAAACTGGTTTACAGATAAGATGAGATTACAGCTCTTTTCAGTAGGTTTTTTTAATAAACTTTTTAAAAAACTATAATAGTATATATTTATTTTATTATAATGTTTATATATGATTATGGTGGCTAGCTTATTCAGGAAATCTTAACT